TCAGTCAGTTTCTCAAGTGCAGAGTAGGACTGTCAAATTCAACGAACCAGTCTTTGTTGTAGTAACAGTAATTAATTTATTATTAGTAATACTATTGATAATGGGAATAATTACATAACACACCATCAGTCATCGTTATTACTGCTATTATTATTATTATTACTATTATTAATTTGGATATTGTCAGCACTGTAAATGAATTTTTGATTGTTGCTGTTGTGTACTAATGTATATTGTTATCGATGTTCACTACCACACTGTCCTCTTTGAAATTGTACCAATCAATTGATCAATTGTTGATTTGGCAAAATATAAGAGTGTTTCTAACTGAGTTAATAAAAAACTCTTAAATTTATTACAAGTTTATTTTTTCGATTTTCGATCAATTTACAAAGAACGATTCTGATCAGAGTGATTTATTCTACTGTGGAGTGCTCTTCCATTCGCGTTGTTTTTTGTTTTACAATCGTTTGCTTATAATTTAGTCAAATCGCCCTCGCAAGGGACAAACTTCATTACAGCAAGAAGCAAATGAACTGCTCTTACTCAAAATCTAATATTTTTGTATATTAGAAGTTTGGACTCAAAAATAACTATTTAGGAAGTAGTGTCCTACCAAACTTGTGAATTAATTAGCTTTACTTTTGATTCAATAATGTGTGCAATGAAATTTGAGCTAAGTTCTTACTCAGATTTTGTTGCATTTCAATTGCATTGCTCAAATTAAAGGTACGTTTGCAGACGATTCATATAAGAAATGGCATCATTTTCCTGAAGTATTTAAACAGTTTAATAGCTCGAAAATTTCGATTGTAATTTGATTTAAAGTATATATTTACTGTTTCTAATTTACTTACTTAATTTTAAAAAGTATCAAAAAATGATCGGAAAACTGTTTGATAGTGAAATTACAGTGCTAGAAATAGTACTGTTCGTCATTGCGACTGTTCTTACCATTTTACTATTTGTGATAATATTGAATTGTTTCGCACAATGTTGTTGTCGAGGTGTGGATGACTGGAAAAAGTGTGAAGAGGAAGACGAGCGCTTCTTCGACAAAGGTTGCATTGAAATTTATACTAACAATAACGCAAATTCAAATTTATAATTTGATAGTTTTAAAATATTTCTTAGTTTCATTATTTTTCTCCGAAATGCACAGAAGCTGCTGAAAAATGATAAGAAAAGAGCTGATATAAATGATTAAAAGACATTGATTGTTACAAATTTGTATTCAATAAACTATAATTTATTATGCAAATAAGCTAAGGTTGCCTTTTGAGGAAGAAACTAAACACTTCAAACAATTTTGATCAAAAGTAAAGAATTTGTGATTCTTTAAAACTGTCATCATTTATACTTGTAGAGTACTATGATGAGATCTGTACATTACTATGTCCACATGAAAGTATGGAATCAAAGCAAGTGTTTGGAGATTCAACGATGAAGGACAAGGACGAGGTCTGACAAAACTGCTTTCATTGAATTTTGAATGCTCTTCTAGTTTTAAAGTGTAGGAACTTTTGAAGCCTTTTTGAATTTCAAAAACTAGAAATGGACATGCTTTTTTCTGAGGTTGAAAATACTCGATACTAAAACTTTATGAATAGCTTTTATACAGCTATGCAACCAACATTTCAGATACTTCTACCATTAAGAGTATTTATGAGAAGTGCATAAAGAATAACATGTTAATGAATCACCGAAATCAGCATAAAGAAGGGTTTCAGGAGGAACAGAGGACAAATTCAGAAAGACTTATCCTTCTGAAAGATGACCTGAAGAAGTACAATATAGATCATAATATCGAGGTTACTTCGAGTATTCACTCAAACTCAGCCAGAAAGTTTTCATACTTCTCATTGAATATTTTTCAAACATGCTAACTGCATATGTTTGACTTGTTGGCAGCTTTTTAATTGACTGATATTCTTCGCAAATTATTACGCTACTAAATTTCAGGACCAATTTGTAATTTTTGGTCAAAAGTCATTTAGAATTTTAAATAATTTGAGATGAGGCATACTATGACTTTCGGTTGAATATCGTCGCTAAATATTAAGTAAATTCGAGTATGCAAAAATCTATCTATCTCATCAATGCAATTCGAACAATCAGATTAAGCCTAAGCAAAGTTCATAAAGTTCATTGCAATAATTTAATTATATCGAAAAGTGAACGCCAAAGTATTATTTATCCAAGTTTGAAGAATGAATATTTTTGTTGCAGATTAAAGAGGATGTATCAGAAAGAGCTGCAATCGAAGATAAACGACGTACTTGGCTCGGATTACAAGACGACGAGAAGTTTGAAGCCGTAATCATGCCAAGTGCTGATATCAATGAACACAATAAAAAAACGTATAATATTTGCTATGACATCGTCAAAATGCTAAAAACTGATCTTAATTCCAAGTATGTAGGAACAAATCAATAAATATTAATGCACTAAGACGTAGATGATAAGTGATGTCAATTGATATTACTTTTAGGGATATCGTATTGAAATACGTTTCTGCCGAGACATTTGATGGATACGAAACAGCTGTGTAGTACAGAAAGCAAGTGCTCAGTCAATGCGAGAATACTTTTCTCTTGCAATTTCGAAGATACAGCACTGTACGCATACAATTCAGATCATCTCATTTTTGATTCAAATTTCTATTTCTCATATGAATCATTCTCTGATTACATTATGAAGTTATTTCAAAAATCAATAAATCATCGGTAATTGCAACTAGCACTGATCAAAGCACTCGGATACAAAGAATAACATCGTTTTACCTGAATTAATCTCTTTCAGACCAAATTAACAATTTCTATTGATGACATATTCGAAGCAATCTTGTAATCGCTGAGCAGCTACAGATGCCTGCCCATACATTTCCCCTACTTTCCCTTTTAATCACATCAGAAACAATTTTACACATATCTCATTGTAATTGTTTGCAAAATACAGCCAGTTTCTTCTCAGATCATTTCTTGAAAGCAACAGTTTAACTCCTTAATTTCTGTTTAACTCCTTAATTTCCGACTTTTCATTCATAACATACAGTTGGCACTGCTTGCGTAAGTACTGAGTATGAATAGTTTACCAGTACATAACATGTATCAATTTTGAATTTTTGATGAAACATAATGATTGGCTTAAGATGTGACTTAATTGTACTATTCATATTTTAGCACTAATAACGAGCGTAATCTTTTCACGTTGTACGTAAGTGTGGCTTTTGAAATGTATAGGTATCCTAAAACTGCTTACTACAGACGCCTCCAAATCTAACTGACTCCTCAGGTTGGAGCCGTTAAAGAATCAAAAATTTTGTTAGCATAAAATTTTCATGAAGTACTGAATCAAAAAATTTAGGGCTGCAATAAATTATATGAGTTCTCAAAAGATATCGCTTAATCATTGTGTACAGGATGCTTGTGCAAAGTGGGGTAGACGCGAATTGTTATGGGTTTGCAAGTTAGGTTGGGATTACTATTGATGTGTTGTTTGTTTGGGTCCGCGAGGTTTGCGGTTGCAGAACTTACGAGGGTTCTGCTTTGCTAACTTAGGTGTGACTTATTTGATAAATGAATGAATCAGTAATTAAAATTTCTGAGAACATGAAAAGATATAGGCAAATCACAAAGAAAACATGATACTTCCGGCAATCCGATCTGCATTATCAGCTACTTGTAGTCGAACGTTACATGTGAACTCTGCTAATGGCTTTCTTGCGAATGTAGCACGTCGATGCAAGTAAGTTCATCAATGAATGATTATAAATATAGCAGCAGAAGTGATCGCTGATAGAGTTGCGAAATTTATTTAGATATATTTGTTGAGCAGGATTCATTTTAAAAGCAACACCATTTTGTTCATAAAAAGAATTTGCATGGATATTCAAAATTTGTTTTGCGTGTCTTGTCAAAATTTTTGAGCCTTGGTTATCTGTGACATGTGCATCAATTTTTTATTTGATTAACAGGTCAGATGGTGTCAGAGGAGCAGTCATTGGTATTGATCTTGGAACTACTAATTCGTGTGTGGCAGTTATGGAAGGAAAACAAGCTAAAGTATGAAACTCAAAATTGTTTGGATGATGTATAGTAAATGAAACATCTGGACGCTGATGTTTTCCTTTTTATTATATCAAAGCGATTTGTTTTTTCTTTTACATGTTCACCAAAGTGTTGTAGGTAATTGAAAATGCGGAAGGTGTAAGAACAACGCCTTCGGTAGTTGCGTTCACTAAAGATGGCGAAAGATTAGTTGGTGCACCAGCAAAGAGACAGGCAGTGACCAATTCGCAAAATACACTCTACGCGACCAAAAGATTGATTGGACGACGTTTTGAAGATCCTGAGGTGCAAAAAGATGTGTAAGTTCTATTTTATAGTTTACTTTACAGACTGATTATGGTCATAAGAATTATGCATTATTACTCATGTTTTTTCTTTGATACTTCAAACATTAAAACACTTCGGTAGAATTGTTTTTGTTGATGTAAAAAGTTCTGAAAATTGTGTGAAATACTGAAGATATCTTTATCTCTGTTAAGATGTTAATATTGATTTTCAGAAAAGTAGTACCTTTCAAGATTGTTCGCGCATCGAATGGTGACGCGTGGGTTGAGGCTCAAGGTAAAATGTACTCACCATCTCAGGTAAATATTCTCTCTGCCATAAAAAGTGTGGTATTGATAGGGACTGAATATTATCAGTAGTTTTGTTAATGTTTACAGGTGGGAGCATATGTCTTAATGAAGATGAAAGAAACAGCTGAAAGTTATTTGGGTACTACTGTTCACAACGCAGTCGTCACCGTCCCAGCATATTTCAATGATTCCCAAAGACAGGTGTGAAAGATTTTATTTTATTAGAAGTTCAGATTGCATTAAATTTCTGTCACTCAATAATTTTTTCCAAATGATAATGTATCACCGAAAAACGGTCAACAGTGTTATGTTTTTATTAAGGCGACAAAAGATGCTGGTAGAATTGCGGGTTTGAATGTGTTGCGTGTCATCAATGAGCCTACTGCAGCAGCTCTATCTTATGGTCTGGATAAAGCAGAAGATAAAATGTAAGAGTAATATAACATTTATAGTTGGTTATATCAGCGTTTAAGAAATGTTCTAATTAATAAAATTATTCTGTTATTTTGTTACACCGAACTACTCTAAGGTAGATGTGTAATTTTTTCAGCATATTATTCCTTGAGTTTAATTGAAAGTTAGTTTACAGCATAGCTGTTTATGATTTGGGTGGTGGTACTTTCGACATATCAGTTCTCGAAATTCAGAAAGGAGTTTTCGAAGTAAAATCAACCAATGGTGATACATTCCTTGGTGGTGAAGATTTTGATAATGCATTAGTTCATTATCTCGTAGCTGAATTTAGAAAAGATTCAGGCATCGATATTCACAAGGTAAAAAATATTTTCACAGTTAGTTTGGAATTTATGGTATCATTAAGTTCCTTGAGAATTGTTTTTTCAAGTTTGATTTTGTTAAACTCATGACAATGATGATATAATAATTCTTCACTTTGATCTGAACGTCTATTTTTATGAAGAAATAAGCGATTTTGAGTCATGAAATCACGAAAATGGCGAAGAATAATTAATGAGAGCTATTTTTTTTAAATAAAAAAAATTATGATGGTGAGTATTCAGGATCCCATGGCAATGCAACGTTTACGAGAAGCTGCTGAAAAAGCAAAATGCGAGTTGTCTTCAACAACACAAACTGATATAAACTTGCCATACTTAACAATGGATGCTTCTGGACCAAAACATATGAATTTGAAGTTAACACGTGCTAAGTTTGAACAGCTCGTAGCAGATCTTATTAAACGAACAATAGATCCGTGTCGCAAAGCTATGCATGATGCAGAAGTCAAACCGTCGGAAATTGGAGAGATTCTTCTTGTTGGTGGGATGACGAGAATGCCCAAGGTGATTTGGAATGTTATAATACATCTAAAAAATATAGAAATTTATTGTTTATTTAATTTTATGTGTTTATATAAAGTTCTCGTTAAGGTTCAACAAACAGTGCAAGATGTGTTCGGAAAACAACCTTCAAAAGCAGTGAACCCTGATGAAGCAGTTGCAATTGGAGCAGCTATTCAAGGTGCGGTTCTAGCTGGTGATGTAACTGATGTTCTTTTGCTGGATGTAACTCCACTTTCTTTGGGTATCGAAACACTTGGTGGCGTCATGACGAAGCTTATTCAGCGCAATACAACTATACCTACAAAAAAAAGCCAAGTATGTATTTTATTTGTTATTAGAGTTGTTAAATTAAAAAAAATGTTATGACTAAAATTTCATTTACAATTTTCTGTTTAATTTTGGATAACATTGGAGTTATATATTTGATTTTGGGAATTTATTGCAGACAAACGTGAAATTGGTTGATATTTTTCAGTTGATTAGCGTAACAGAAAACTGTGAGAGATAATAGTCAAAAAAAGTTGATTTTTTTTCTGATGAGACATAAACTGAATTCAACTCTGCTGATGTAAGCCCAATGCAAGCAAATAATGTACTTGTAATCAGGAAATCTGCAAAAGTTTTGAAATTATCAAGAGGTCAAGGAGTTTGTATTAATGCTTGTAACACAGTAAATTTTTATTCTAGGTATTTTCTACGGCCGCAGATGGTCAGACACAAGTAGAAATCAAGGTTTATCAAGGGGAACGAGACATGGCGACTAACAACAAACTTTTAGGGCAATTTTCCTTGGTATGATTACATATTCGTAATTTTTTATATATTTCACTTGAAAATTGCTTAGTACTTCAAGTCCTCTCATTCATTTTGTTGAAGGTTGGTATACCTCCTGCTCCTCGTGGTGTTCCACAGATCGAAGTTACTTTTGATATAGATGCAAACGGTATCGTTAATGTTTCAGCTAGAGATAGAGGCACTGGCAAGGAACAACAAAGTTAGCTTTTAGTAATATCTGTACACATTTTATTGTAATTATGACGACATTATAATGAAATTATTTGCTTTAAGTTGTAATTCGCTCTTCGGGTGGATTATCAAAGGACCAGATTGAGAATATGATTCGTGAAGCTGAAAGGAATGCTGCTGCCGATGCTGAGCGAAAGGAAAAAGTTGAAGTCTGCAATCAAGCAGAAAGCGTTGTACAAGATACTGATTCCAAATTAACTGAATTTAAAGATCAGGTGGATCCAAAAGAGGTGATTTGTTTACTTTTATGCCTGTGCTTGGCAATTTTTATCGTAATTATTCTTTTCAGTTTTTTAGAGGTCTAGTCTATTTTTGTCAAAACATGTGATAATGAAAAACGAGATCGTCTTCGGAATTATTTATTATAATTAAAACTTCTTTAGTCCTTTTTAAAAATGAACCAATACTTTCAGGCTGAGGAAATTCGCAAAAAACTTGATGAATTGAGGTCGTTGTTGGCAAACAAGGAAAACGAAACTGCAGCCAAGATTCGCGAAGCAATTGGTTCACTTCAGCAACAGTCTTTAAAATTATTTGAAGCTGTTTACAAAAAAATGGCTGCTGAAAATACGCAATCTTCTGGAGGTAAGTTGATGCTTTGGAGCGCTAGAAGTTGAACTATACTCGTTTGCTCTGTTATAACTGAAATTCTACTTTTTAGGTACACAAGAAGCACAGACTGCGGAGGAACCTAAAAAGGAGGAGAGCAAATAAGAAGTTACACCTCTGTTCTATTTGTTACATCTTTATTAGTTTTGTTTAACTAGATTGCATGTTATTTCGAAGTGACTGCTTGTTATCTGCTTTATTGACGTCATCTATTTCTGGTAATTTCAATTTCTCAAAGTTGATCACTTACGGATTACTTATCAGATGTTTAGAGTGTTTTGAACTCTAAGGAACTGATTGATAGACTAATTTTGTAGTAAAAAGTCGTTCTGCAGATCTCCGGAATCTTTTAGTAACCATATCTTACTAATTTGTTACTTTTTGCTATCCCTTGGTTTTTTTTTAATTTTATACCAAAGGTCATAGTTGATTGTGGAATTTTTTAATACACTGCAAAAGGAAAGAAACTTTTCGAAACGCGGGATGGCAAAATATGAAATTGATTTGTAACAAGAGTTGTCTTATTTAAAAATTTATATTTGGATAAAGTACAGTGAAATATGTTGAAGCGAGTATATGTAAAGCACGATATGTCGTAACCATTTGACTTCAGTTTTCTAGAAATGGAAATGCAAAACATCTGTCATTCATTATGGAGTTGCGCATAGTGTACATTAGTCCAATTTTATGTAGAGAAAAATAGTCGTGATGGAGTTGATTACAAAAATCCATATGTTTGGATTCTTGTATTGATTGCATATCAGTCACTAATGAGTTGTGAACTAGATTTGAATTAATCTGTTGGTTTTAAAGTATTTATAAAACTTTCCGTTTTTAGCCGGCACTCAAAATTGCAGAAGTTCTCTCTGTTTTTACTTCAAAGCCATATCTGAACTCAAGACTTAAACATAGTAATCAATAGTAATTTGTAATAGAAATAAAGTGATCGCGGCATTTGGGATGTGGTTTCAGATTGCTTAACTGAGATCTCAGTATAAGATTACTAGTAACATGAGATAAAGATTCGAGTGCTGAAGAATACTTCTATAAGGAAACTTTACATTTTGGTTTCAAACTAGCCGGAAAAATCGAGATCACTAAATTTTTAGTAATTTCGGGCGGAACTTTAGTGCACTCTTCTAAAAAATGACTTCCTTTTTCTGATATAGTAGTTTGTAGTTTGCTAAAATATGAAACAAAGTATAATTGTATTCACATTTGTGTTTTATATTGGACCTGTTACAATAGCATCCACAATTTCTTCCTTTGTCATTATAGACTTGATATTCGTACGTGACTGTAATTTGAGCAATAAGTTAGCACCTCGCACCGACAAGAGTCGAGAACTCATTTGGTCTTTCTCTAGAAAGATAGCTCGAGGTATGTTTCCAGGATCTGGTTCTAGGCGAGCTCTTCGGTATTCTGGCCGAAAATCCAACTCTATTTCGTCACTTAACTGTAATTATAAGATACAGATAATTTCAGCTGTCATCAAATGCACTGTAAATGAATAAATGTACGTGAATATTTATTTTTACTAACTGGTTAGTTTAAAATATCAAGTGCAAGGACAAAGTCTCTCACCCGTACAGTAATGACTGTATGGTGGTAGTGTTTCCATCCAGCAACTTTTCGTAAAGCCGGTATCAAAAATAGTTGCGCTGTTACCCAAGTGGACACGGGATTTCCCGGTAGAGCGAAAACCACTTTCTTCCTTGCATTCCATTCGCCGCAAGCAAAAGTAGTTGGCAAACCAGGCTTCATCATTACTCTGCCAAACTTTATCGTAAACTTCAGTTGCTTTTCAAGTACTTCTTTGAAGTAATCCTGAATCAATCTCCCTCTATATTTTATTCTAATTTCAATAAGAGGCTCAGATTTAATTAAAGCCGTGTCTCATTCCTTCTCGACTTTTTAACTCGCTTACTATAAAGCACTAACCTTGCTAATAATATTCCACTCTAAACTCTATGCGAAAATAATTTCATGTAGAATCTTTGGCAAGCCGAAGGTGAACCTAGACAAAATTTAGAATGTTTAATTAGTAACTAGTTTTCATGTTCGTAAACAAGTAAAGGTTTCAAACTTTTTCGCCCATAGAAACGCCACCAGAACATACAACCACATCACATAAAGTCAGAGCCGTTTCTAATCCACTTTTGAGTTTTTCTTTACTGGAATAATCCTGTCTTTCATGCAGTCAATTTATTTTACAGACTGACTTTTTTTTTAATGCGAAACTTTACAAAACCCAACTTATCAGGTAAAATCCCAATGTCGCGATACTTGAAGTGATATTCATTGAGCAAAGCAATAAGTTGTGGACGGTTTGTATCACGAACTGACCCTAATGGGCATTCGTTTGAACTGCTATCTACCACCTGCAATCAAAATGAAGTCAAGTGTCTAAATATAGTTTCCAGGTTCGAGATAAAAATTTTAAATAGAACAAAATTTCAGGTAACAACTGGAAAAAAAATTTGCTATCCCTTTACAACAGCAAGTATCACTGAGCAAGTAACACTTCTTCGCTTAACTTGCGAATTATCAAGACTTGTTATCAGAAAAGAGCTGACTCACTTCATGACCCGTTGAAATCACTGCCACTTCCGGTTTTTCAAATATTTCTACAAGTTTTCTTTCTGACGCCGCTAAAATGCCAATTTCAGCTGCACCAAATACGCATCCTTTGTGTAATAAAATCTCTCCTATTTTGATATCACATCCAATATCCCTACAAAATCTTTTAATGCAGTTTTATTCAGTCTCAAATGCAACAAGTTTATTTGAGGTTCTTCTAAAAATACTCAGTGAGCTAAAGGTGCTAACATTCCGTTGGTTTACTACTTCTAACTTCAAAAGTGTTTTCACATTTTGCATCAATATATAACTAAAACAAACTTTTGAATTTTTGGAAGAAAAATTTTGTTTAACTTCATTTATCTCACCGAATGTCTTGGCCAATTATCGGTTCACTCAAAATTTCCACTGCAATTTCTTGTAGATTCTGAAAATGAAGTTCGGGTTAATATTTAGACCAGGTGTACTAAAAGTCAGCATGAAACAACATATGAATCTTGCTAGTGTAGGAAAGAAATGATGAAAAATTCAAATTTTATTAATGATTGAATGGAAAGTCAAAAAAATTCTTCGAAAATACAGAATCCAGACTAGTTTTCAAAACTTTGTACGATAATATATCATTGGTAAGTAAAGGTTGCACCAACATTGTACTCAACAAGACGGGTATTTTCAATTTGTACCACAGCATCTGCGCCATCAGGTACCATAGAACCTTAACTACATTCACTTTTCTCTAGCACCAATGATATTTGGGCAATTATTTTATCGAATTTAATCATTATCTGCTTCTGACATAGCAAATAATCCGCTTAGAGCAAGGAAAATCGTTGTAATTTTTTATCAAATAACTACAGGTAATGATTATAAGAATTGAATCACGTACGAGAGACAGCAAAGAAAGTATAAAGAAATTAATGAAGAAAGAATTTGAAGGGATTTAATCACTCAACTGGAAAGTGAATCAGTGAATCTCTTTTTCAAATCTACAATGCAGTTTTACGCTCTAAACTTTCTGCAATAAAAACTGACCTGTGTTTACTCGACAGATAAATCCTGACTTAAGTGTTATAGTACTCAATTCGCCTGCAGTAGTTCCAGCCACAACTTGTCGAATACCTTTGCCATCAGATGCTGCAAATCCGAAAGTTGGTATTTGCTCTTATGTATTTATGTAAAAAAGACAAAAGTTCCGAAAAATAATTGGCAAAATGCAAATGAATGTTATTTGTATGTTTACTTTGAATACTTTATTTGTATGTTTAGCAAAATAAGAGAGTAAAATTCATAACTGAATATACTTCATATAAACTAACCCACAACTGCATATCCATCTTTAATAGATGTGCGTACTTCTGGATGTGATTTTGTAGCGATTATATCTTCTGCTAGAACATCTCCTAAATTAATGCATGCATATTGTTTGATCATAAATTATTACTCATTTTATGAATTTCAGAATTATCACCTATCATTTTTGTTTACATATTATTATAATTTCGAGAAATGAAACGTGGTTAACGACAACACGAGAATTGCTTTTATCCACTTTTGATACAATATTTGTTAGCTCAATTGTACTTAATATTCATATCAATTAATTTCAGTTATTTTGTTAGACTATTTGCAAAACAAATGCCTACCACCATAAACTCTTTAACCAAGCACCTATTTTGACTTCGGTATTAATAACTTTCCGTGTCAAGCTCGTCACACAAACGTGTTTTTCAATCATGTCCGTCGCTTCTGCCACCGATACAGCTGGCCATAAACTTGTACGTGGACGTTCAATAACTGCGCTTAATAATTCTGCCATTGTTTGTAAATAATTCTCGTTACTTTAAAATTAAAACTGCTTGTCGATAATTTTTTATATTTTTCTGTAAATATGAAAAATTAGAAGTCATTTATAATTGCATCAATTAACTTAAGAGTGAATTCTATTTGAATGCAATTTTTCTAACTACACTTCAACACTCATTTTTTCTTCCATAAATTTGAATCGCTTTTGATATTTACTTTATCAAAATTTAGAGTTGAAAATTTTCTGATTGAAAAAAATTTTTCGCAAAATATTTTATTCCTCAATCAGTTAGTTCATTCTAACGCACTGCAATAAACATCGAACAGTACTTCAAATAACACATTCTACCATTACTGCGAATTAATTTTTGGAAAACATTTGAAGAAACGAAATGCAGTTGAAAGTAATGGAAAGGTTAGGTCGTCGCAAGTATTTTGTATCTAAAAAAATTTTTGAGTGATTTTTTCATTATTAAAAATAGGTAATTGTAGAGAGTGGAAATGGAAGAAAAGCTATGAGAGTTAATACCTCGTTTCACCTCTTAATATTGTTGCTAAGTAGACTGAGTTCAGAGTTTACATTCTTGAATTCTTACAAAATTTATTTATTAAGAAGTCAGTGCCAAGCAAAGTTAATTTCAGCACAAGACAAATAGATCAACAAATCTAAAATTACATAAATGGATCAATAAAGCTAGAATTACGTAAACTACAAAGTACTGCCACTACAGAGATCAACATCCATCCATTGCATTACTATTTGATCAGTACAGCAGTGATCGATCATATCACTGTAAATGGATAGATTAAATTTGAAGTAAAAAAAGAATCGATAATTGATCAGTGGAAATAGTGGGAGGAGTGAGGGTTATGAATGCATGGCAGAGGCAACGCTACAGAAAGCATTTTGCTTTCATTTGATGACCAGTGCAAACAGTAATGCAAATCAATTTCACATTAATATTTGTGTATTTGATCTTCTGTTTTTTTCATTGTTCAGAAAGATCCCAACTAATTGTCATTCCAATGACCTATTCCAGTTTACATGAAGAATCACTAGAAATAAGTACTAGCACTTACTTACTTGTTATTAGTCCAATTACTATTTTATTAAATTCACACGTGTTTAATCCTCTAACCAGCAAAAGGTAATTGTGAAAATTACCACTATATAATCTTTGAGAATTTTTTTCACTGCAAATTTTTTAGTAGAATGAAATACACTTGCTAGATTTATAGATGTGCGCAATATCTGCGTAATGTGTAATAGAGATTTTAGTATCAAAAGGTCAAGAGAAAATGAGTAGTGGCTTCTGGTTACTACTTTAGTAATAATGCCGACAACTTTTAATAGTAAAAAACCGAGTAGAGATTGTGGAAGTTGCTGATGTGGAAATAGTATTAGTGCGATTTGTTAAAAATGGCTTCTAGCAGTTTTTTAACAGAATATAAAACTTTTCGAGTGACGCCATTTCTCGTAAGTATAAACTTAAACCACGTTAAGGCACGCTGCTAATAAGTGTAGAAAAAGTTAAAGTGTTAGGGAATAAAATCACGCGGAAATTTCATGTGAAAAGACTTTAATACAATTAAACATTTTTTAATATTTTGATAGCACAGCAGTACCGACATGCTGCTACCTATTCATCATTCATCCACGCAAGTAATCAGACGAATGAGAAGTAAAAATATTAATGATGCAAGCAAGAAAAGGTAAAAGTATAGACTGGAATGAAGTTAATGATGAAGACAAAGTGCGAAAGAAAAGTTCGCAAAAAAAGTGCTGCAAATTCCGAAGAAACAAAATCATACTGAATTGTGTGTAAAAAATTGACTCTAATTGAGTACAGAATGTTACTTACGTTAAAATAAAAGTGACGATGTAAATGTCACGTTATACTTTACAAACAATCGCTACTGCTTGCGAACATGGATGTATGACCTCTGGGTAACTTCTGCAGTGTAAATGCCTCAAATTCTCTTTTCATCGCCTGTGAATTACCCATTTGTCTTCCCAAATCAATTATTATACACACAACAATGTTCCATTCAAGCAACGATCTACTCGCCATAATTGAGTACTTCATTATTTATTATTTCACTTTATAGTCTTGAACGCAACAGAGCACCCTTTGACCTGATATGAAGTGAACTCTGGAAAGTTTAGATAGAAATAGATGCATACTTGGTCGAGGAGTAAATCTTTCTTCATTTTTCCACTTTAATTCATTCATCGTGAAATAAGTATTAATATTCAAAGAATATGGAAAAAAAAGAAGAAACGCTGTAATGAGCTAATTTTGTAGTGTATAGTTTGCCCAGGGAAGTAATCTGTTGAGGACTGTATGCATTGCCTAACTTGCAGTTATTAAGTTCATCCCCAACAAGCAAAGTAATAACTTTCATATTTGAACTTTGATCCCAAGTACTTCCTCAAAATCATCAATTTCAATATTTCCAAATCTTTAAACTTAGTATGCCAAAGTGGTAAAAAAATGAAAGTGTGTTATGCGCAGCTTTGTAGTTAATAATTTATGATTGTTCAAAACAAAGCATGTGATTTGGTAAATGTCTACGTAAATTCCTTACAGCGTACAATAAATTCAAACTGGTTTCTGCGATTGTTTTTTATCTATTTGCTTGCGACCAAATACTTCCCTTCATTGCAACAAAGATCATAGCAGCAGTTGTGTTAATGTTGATAATAATGATAATAGTAAACATGTTTGATGGGATTTACAAGATAATAATTGTGGTCTGTCACAGAAGTAAAAAATGACGAGCTTTGTTGCAACTTGATTCACTGTTATTGTTGCAGTAGCACTAAGAAAGCGAATTGAAAAAGCTTTTTAATTATTTTTTCTTTTTTACAAACTTTTTACAAAAATATTTGAGAGAACTATTTCTGCAGTGAATCAGTGAAAAGGGGCACAAAATGGCAAACTGGTCGTATTATTTTTGCTAACAAATAAAATAAGCAATGTAATGAATGCTAAAATCGGAGCTTTTATTTTCCTGTTTTGACTACTGGATATTGTCACCGCGGTGTTTCTCACGTTATCTCATCTCTCTTAGCTTTCTTCCAGTTGGCATACCAAAATTTACCACTTCGACTTAAGCGAAAAAAATTTGTTTCCTTTAATTTTAAAATAACTTTTATTTCGATCATTGTATGCTAATCAATTCATAGCGTTGCAAAATTAAAGTTTCTTATTATTTATTACTTATTATTTGTACATTTAACTCATCACGTAAGCTACGTAATGCTTGACTTATCATTTGCAGCTTATTTTTAATTCATATTTTGTTTTGTCTTTACATCCATTTATATTTAAAAAAATTCAATTGATTTTGGCTAAGCATTTTATCGTCGTTATAATACGCAAAAGCTTACAAAATACGTCAAGGATGCGTACCTTTTTGTCATTTCATCTCAACTTGACCATTTCTATCTTTTCATGCAATTTTTTGCTTTCTTTGTCAAAAAAAAGAATATATACGCTTTTCACGCTTTTCACTTTATTTTATTTCTACGCGTTATTTGATTTTACCTATTAATTTCACAATATTCCATAAAAGTCTCTACTGATTTCCAGTTTTACTCACGTCAGATGCTGTAATGAAAAGACATATGTAAACGTCCCATCTAGACTTTTGATTAAATGCTTTTGTTACGTAAACAATTTTAATCATCAAATAACTCAACAGTACTTTCCTTGCCGATGCACGCTCGTAGTTTTTATCTCGTATTCTGTTTTTCACGTATGCTTCATTTTTTTCGTGTGTATTAAATTTTTTAAATTTCTTTGTAACTGTTTTGACTGACTTTTTCATCAATTGTTCTGTGCATAACAGGCAAATTTGTAATCGCAGAAAGTTACGGACTTGCGTTCAGCAAAGCGTTTCATAAAAACACTTTAATCTGCCCATCGGCGAGACTTGCTTCATTTCTTGTCAGTCAAATGCTTTTTTGAATTCTGAAATTCTGCTGATATGAAGTGAAAATTTTTCTATGAATTGATCGCTTTGTGTTGTACAAACATTGCAGTTCTCTGACTTACGCTAAATTTTTACTCAGTAATCACGATCGTATATTAATATTCATATTCAATATTATATCTTTGAGTACGTGAGGAATATATATTACCTTTTTCAAATCTCGACTGCCTTTGCGAAGAGGCAGTCGAGATTTGAAAAAGGTAATATATATTCCTCACGTTCATAAATCGCTCAAAATTTTGACAGCAAGAATTGATTGCTGAGCTGAAAAGAAAAAATCGTTGCAGCATTTTGACATTGTTAGCAGTTGCTTGATTTCAGGTCATTCAAGAATAGACGTTGAGTCCCTTTATGATGTGCTATATTGGTTTGTTCTTACTGATGACAATAGCGCATTATATCAAGGCTTTAGACAACGGTTTAGCTAAGTTAATACATTTATTGTTCAGATTTTGATTCTCTTTTATTATTTCAATCGTAGACTTTGTACAGTTCTAATTTTTCTTGAGAGTGACGTAAGACGTAAGAATCAACTTTTCATGTGCTTTGAAGTTTATTTGGTTTTTTGCTGTGAAGAAAATCAGCTTGAATAGCACGTTTGCTTTATATTTGCAGTCACATATGCAGCATAGATATGCAATTTTTCTATAATGTTTTGTTAGAACACCGCCTATGGGGTGGATGTCGTGGACGAAGTTTTACTGTCAGATTGACTGCATACGACATCCTTTTACTTGTATCAGTGAAAGACTTTACATGGATATGGCTGATCGTTTAGGTATACTATAGAAATTTGTTTAAGAATGTTTCAAATTAGTAGAGTAAAAATTAAAAACAATAATCACCGAGCGGTGAGAAAATGATGATTAGAGTTGAGATTGATTCGATATCCAAAGAAAAATTCACCATTAAAATATCATACAAAATTATTTTAAAACGGAAGCAGTAATTGAGAAGTTCTAATTATTTCGTTAATAAGTGATAGATATCAGAATATCATTGTTTATTTGAGATAATACAAGCTAGCATATTCGAAATGTTTTGCAGTAAAAGTTACAAGTTTCCTTGCACTGTATCGAGTATGAGGGAAAAAAATTGACACTTTATATTTTAGTTGAGGACGGTTATTTTCAAGCAGGCTACGAATATATTCACGTTGATGATTGTTGGATGGAAGGAACTCGAGATCAATTCGGTCGTTTAGTTGCGGATCATCAACGTTTTCCGAGTGGAATGGCGGCATTAGCTGATTACGTAAGATTTATTTCTATATTATTCATAATTTTGCTGAGATAGCAATAAATAAAAAGTATAAGCAATTTTAAAGAATAAAAGTGATAGATGGCTAATGGTCAAAGATTTTTTTCAGAAAGTTGAAATCTTTTTCAAGCTTTTCATTTCGCCTTTTGTAAATGAAAATTGTGAAAAAACTTAGATGCATAAACGTGGCTTGAAATTCGGCATCTATGCGGATTACGGTACGGCTACGTGTGCTGGCTTTCCAGGTACTTATCAACACACAAAAATAGATGCTAACACGTTTGCTGATTGGCAAGTGGATTATCTCAAACTTGACGGTTGTAATATCAATTTTGATTTAATGCCAAGTGGTAAGTTTAATTTATTGCTCACCAAAAACTCTTTGTTAAAGATTAGTTTAAAAAAAAAAGGAAATTGAACTCTCTAATTGCAAAAATATTAAACTTTTTATGAGTTTTCAAAGAATACGCGAAATTGTTCCTAGCAAGTGATTACCTATTTATACAGTACAGTTTTAAAAATTATTAAAAATTTTTACTAGTCAGTTAATTTTGTAGGTTATGCTGAAATGGGTCAAATGCTGAATTTAACTGGCCGGCCTATAGTTTACTCTTGCAGCTGGCCTGCTTATCTTATTAATCAACCTCAAAAAGTTAGTTTTCCGTAATGTGTCATTCTCAGTACTTCATATTTTACGCTTTTAGTTTTGATATTATTATGAAACTGTTGTCATAAATAATTAAGTTATTTGCCTTAAATAATAAAATGTTTATTGCTCAGGTTGATTATAAACTGATTGGGGAGCACTGCAATTTATGGCGTAATTTTGATGATATTAAACTATCTTGGGACTCAATCAAAAGTATCATCGATTATTACGATCATAATCAAGACAAACACATACCTGCTCAAGGACCTGGAAAATGGCATGATCCTGATATGGTCAATTTTAATACCTCATTCTTGTTGTGTGAAGTCGAATTTGATACTTCGAAAGAAAGCCATAAAAAATTTGTTTGCAAAGAATTATAGTTATGCATATTTTCTGACTATCATTAATAATGTCATTGTCTAAGGGATATACAAAGTAATTAGAGGTATAGTGCATGAAATTGAGTAATGTAAGGAGCTATTTTTTCAGTGAATTTCTCATAAGTTATTAAATTTTCAGATAATTGTGGGAAACAATGAAATTACTGTAGATCAAGCAAAAGTCCAAATGTCCATCTGGTCAATCTGGTCAGCACCCTTAATTATGTCTAATGATTTGAGATTGATCGCACCCATATTTCGAGAAATTTTGATAAATCCTCTGGTTATTGCTATTGATCAAGACCCTTTAGGAATCATGGGTCGATTGGTGGCTAATGTTAGTTGCATTTATCAAGACAGTTATTTGATTGAAAATATCATGCATGAAAACACACTAAAATATGTGGGTGATTCAAAATTTACACAGTCAGTTAATTAAGTTATTTGATGCTTTTTCATTCCAGCTGAGCCTGCTTATCTTACATCAAGACCCTTTAGGAATCATGGGTCTTTTTTTTTAGAAGCATTCACTTGATATAACGTGAATCGTTTTCGTATGCGCTAAGAATTGTTTTCAGACATCCAACATAGGCATTTACGTTAAACCTGTGACTCCAGCTAAGCCCTCATTGGGTCTATACTCTTATGCTGTTGCAATTTTCAACAGGAATCCATACCAACAAATGGTATATATTAATTACTTGAGTTAAAAACAGTCTGCACAGTTTTGATCTTTCATTTTTTAAAGTACTGGAGATAATAACCGCAATAGCCATTATGCATAAATTATGTGCAAAAATTCAATTTCCATGCAAATGGTCTCAGAGTTTGCGGAAAAATTTCAATCTAATCAATAGTCAAATATCTATACTTTTTTGAACTGATAATTGCTTTACTCATCCACTAAACTGACTTAGTTTTGTGACAGTTTAGTCTTATTTCTGTTCCAAAAACTATTGAACAAGCAATAATACTGTTGCGCCTGCATAGTACTAATTTTAAATTCTTTTCAACTCGATAAGTAATCGAACCTTTACATTTTTTTGAACTAATGATATACCTTTAATTTAAATACATTGCAGCATGTAGAATTCATGTTTTCAAAAATTGGCCTTACCGACGCAGGTGGTTATTTCGTGCAAGATTTATGGAGTGGTCAGAATAAAGGCCTTTTCAGACCTCATGATTATTACTTTACTACTGTGAATCCAACTGGTATTGATTTATTCAAAGCAACATTGTCTGACTTGGGGAGTGGGTAAATAATCACTGTAATGATCTCATGTGAAAGAAATCTTACTAACTGCTTCAGATTTCGAAATGAAATTCATAAAATGCATGTATGTACATGAAGGTTCTATATATCCATTGTCATGCGTTCAGTAGCAATTTTTTTGTGATAACTGTTGATGACAAGTGCTGTAATATAGCTCTTATTGTACAAAACGGTTGTATGTGCATTAAAATTGTTATTCAAGGAAAGCATCAAAGTATCAATCTAAAAATGTTCATGCAACCACATCTGCTTGAAAATTATAATTGATACAGTTATGAACTATGAATGATTCAAATAAAGTGATAAAGTATTAGTCTTAGGAACAACTCAGAACTCATAACAAAAAAGTAGGTATGATTTTACGACCCATTTTATTAAAGTAAACAATATGCATGAGGATAGGGATCTAAAGGTAGTTCGGAATTGATTAGCAATTGGGTATATTCAGCTCAAAAAACATTTCAAATCACTATCAAACCAAGCATCGATCATTGCACTGATTACGCAGCAAGTAGAAAATGATGTCTGGAAACAGTTTATATTGCTTAATTTCTTGTCTTATAATTTTTTTTGCTGTCAATACCATTACTATCTGCGGGCAAAATTTGGTCATTCAGGTACGTTACTCTAACATGTTGACTCAAAATCCCAATTTAGTTGAACTAAAAATTCGATACCGCATTATTTACCGCAAACTTTAACTCTTTTTAACTCAAACATTTAGATGATATCAAATTACCTAAATTGATTAAATAAACAGAATTAGTGAGCTGGGACATGCTGTTTCATAATTTATAATATGTGACACAATGAGCAAAATGAGTAAGAGTGGTAAGTCAGATTCATTGAAAATTTGCAGAAGTCAGAAGTGGAGGGGGTGTTGAGAGTGTTTCAGATTGTAGAAGAAGGCCAGAAAAACTGATAATTTTGCAAAACTGAACAGTGTGAAGGATTGGTAATGAAGATTAGGCAGAGAGTAGGAGAGTAGGATCCAGAACTAACTGTTTTAAATATTTTACAGAAGGCATATTACAGATTCTTGAAAAAAGTATATTTGCAGTTTTCATTTTTTCATGATGTGGCTAGCGTTTCTTAGAGGTATTTGAAATAATTCCACATTCTTCGCATTATTTTGTGTTGTGGACAAATATGTGTTTCAGACTGATGTACATATTCTACAGTCATATATCAAGAAATACTCCAAATGGATTGAAACATCATTACCAGATGCTCTGACGTCAGTAGTTATTAAACGGAAATTTGGAGTCTTTAATCTGCGAGTTGAAAACTTTCAGACATTATTTATCCGAGTTCCACCCACCAAGCTGTTTACTGACAATGATAACTATTATTATATACAGGTTTTCCTTTTTTATTTCCATATTTCTCATGATTGTTTAGCTCAACTTAATCCTAACTTTTAAAGTCAGATTTCTAGTTATCCGTTTTTAAGATCGCTGTAATGTTTTAATTATCAGGACTGATTTATCCCTACTCTTTTAAATTCTTATTGTGAGGGACTGGAAAAAACTGATAGCGGTTTAGGTTCCCAAGCTTGATGCCGACATTGCTGGTGTTTGGGCATGTAAATTGTTGTGGCAGAAACGTGGAAATTTTACTTTCCAAATTCGTAACATGACTATAACAGTTGGTAAGATTATGCCTCTCCACTATTATGGACTTCCATTTATTCATCCAATAGTTAATTGGTTTGTGTTCGATTCTGATGAATACATTTGCTTCCATTTTGGTTATATATTTTAAGTTCTTAAGTTTGATAATGACATTAAACAAGTTGCTTAGGAAAAAAATGGAAATTGTACTTTCCAAATTCGCAGTATAACTATAGCAGTTTCTTAGCTGCAGTACTCGATAACTTTTTTTAAATCAATTGGTTTATTCTGTGTTATTGACATGAATCTTGTGTATGTGTAGTTTTCCAGCACGTTGGATTTCGAACAGTTCAGATCCACAATTAGTAAATCTGTGCTCTGTCATCGAGTTCTAAGCACATTTTTAAATAAACTTGTTCATTTGGAAGTTGAGAATATCATTTCTCACGTAGTAGTGGAAACTTTTAATTCATTTTTGATGCACGGAATTCGCCAGATATCAATGCGCCATCTTCTTCCTACAGGTAGTTTATTTGATTTCCAAAACATTCCGCAATACTAATTTGTTAAATCTGTGGCAGCTTTTTATTCATGTAATATATAAAGCTTTTTCATTGCAAAGGTATATTAAAGGGTCGGTATTGAATAATATGATGGTCAAAAAACCTGAAGTTATTTCTGGTGGAAATGTCGTGACATATCATGCTGGATTACTCGAAGATGAAAACTATGATAGTGATTTACAGAAGAACACATTTAGCAATCTACAGTTTCCAGCTCGAGGAGATATCATTTATGGAATCAGCATCAGAATGGTTTCAGAAGTTATCAGAGCAGCATACAGTCACTCAGCATTTGAATGGTAATTGTACGTTTTGATGATAAATTCATTCTTTTGATATCAAATTAACTTTTTTTACTCACGCATTCATTTGTTTCTGATAATATTTTATACCTTTTTCAAATAACGAAAAAATCGAAAACTTCAGCAAAAGTTGCAACAAATACATAAATAAGATATTTTGTTAATTAATTTTATTATTCTAGGAATTTTGCCAGTGATGGGTATCAACTTCGTGCAAGATGTACAGAGGTACCCAAAGTTTCAGTTAGCAGAAATTATATTGAATTAAAATTGAAGCAGAATTATCAGTTCAGTAACAGAAGTTTCTACATGCACTGGGATGTGCATGAGTTCATATTTTTCCTTAAAGTTCATTACAGGTAAGTGAAGTGTCTTATTATTCTACAATTAAATTCCATTCTATGACACTGCTGACTTTTAGTTTGATTCGTACTTTAATTTTCTTTTTTTTCTCACATTTTTTAGTGGTAGAAATCATTTATTTGCATTTTTATTTTCTAGTCACAGTCCTCGATTACATTTGCAAGTAGTAAATTCATCGGCATGGACATGGAATTTTTCCAATCCCGAAGTTGAAGTCCGTTTTGTGTCCAAGGTACAGCGCCGTATCGCTTCACTCGTTTCAAATCAACTTCTAATACCACTTCCAATGATTCGAAACGTTATTGCTCGTGATGGTGCTATTACTTTCTTGAATGACTACATTCTTTTCGTTTCTTTTGTATCATTAGTCTAAATTTCATGCTCAAATAGTGTTTTATTCAATTTTAAAATATTTCATGTGAATAAAAATATTGAAATTCTGTTATAATTTTTGTTGTGTATTAAATATGGAAAGTACGGTCTGCGTATTTAACGAAGTTTGAAGATTTCATTGTCAGTTTAATTTTTTAGATTTTTTCTTTGAAATAGAATAAGTTGGTGTCAGTAATTGATTGAAAATCTGTTTTTTCTTGCTCATTTTGTGCTGCGAAATATGGCTGTTTATTGACTTCATAATGATCAAGGCTGAAAGTAGCAAGTATGAAAAGATTTGCAGTTGTGACGGAAGTACTGTTTCCTAACTCTGTTAAGGTGTTTAAACTTTATCAAAAAAATTGTTACTATGGGACCTAATCCAGTAGAGCATGATCAAAATCGACCCGAGCAATATGATATCGATAGCGATGGTAAAGTAGTATTGTTAATTTGTCGGTGATAAGTTTCAATTCAGAGTAGTGTTAGGAAATGTCCTCGAAATCTATTTTTATTGATTGTGAATTATATAATTGCATAGACTACAAGAGTGGTTCATCTTCTACTGATTCCAAAACATAAGTAATTGGTAATTGAGCCGATTTCTTCAGTTTTAAAAGTCTTAATTGTTAACAGATTAGAGTTTGTAGATAGTGGAAGAAATGATAATGTGTGGCATGTTGGCTATGGAGTTGAGATGCACGGTGATGGTTTTGAAGAATATACAACTGGTAGAAGTATGTTAGCAGTTTGATAGGATCTTATTTTGTGCGGGAAGCTATAGTTAAGGTGCACTATACTATATTCCTGTTGTTTGAGGTGCACTATAATTTGATTAACATTTGAAATAAGTACAATATGAAAGTAGAATTTTCTTGCAGTCATGATTTTTTAGTTTGCATTGTTACGTTTAGGTGATGCAACTGATAGTGAGACAGACACAGTTGATGCTGATAATGCAAGTGATATTGAATCAGATCAAAGCGATAATAATGATAGTGATAGCGATCGCTATGTTGGTTATCATTCTCTTCCCACTTGTGACTTCTCTTCGGAAGCAGGAGATATTGATTACGGACGAGCAAACGTGATAATTGAAAGAGATTTTGAAGAGGTAAATCCATTTGGAAATTAATAAGTGTGGTTTGAAAATTACTAATTTAAAAAATTGCTAAAATCCTGGAATTATTTTCAAAGTATATTGATTTGATTTTACTGTCTGATCGAAAGATTGCTTTGCAAGTTTTTTCATTATAATGTTTTAGGCTTTAAGTACAGCTACTTTTGTTCATTCACAGGGTTCTGATTTCAAGATTATTGACAAACCGAAACCAATTGAAATGACTGCAGGTGATTTCTTCAAAGCAATAATTTAAATATAACTTGAAATATTGTGTCGAATTAAATCTTTGAACATTTAATTTGCTTAATTATAACATAATAATCGCTGCACTTCAATATAAAATGAGGTAATAAAAAAAGGAGCATAATACAAGATAAATTGGATGCTAGGAAAGAGTTCGAAAATAAACAAGGAGGTGTAGTATTCCATATCACAATCTGAGTTTCGTGTTAAGGCTCATTTTAGTAACTTCATAAAGGATTTTTATCACTGCATAACTGTTAATTACTTTTGTTTTTCAGACAATATTGAATGCATCAAGAAAGCCATGTCTTCGTTCACTCTTCCTGCTCCTGCATGGGTAGAAGATATTGGCACTGATAACGAACTAAAAAAACTAGTAGAAAGATTGATGCCAAAAAAAACTTCGTGATCATCTTAGTTTTCAGTTTGCAGCTTTTTCGGGCAAATAATGATTCATTTTTTTCGTCATACACTTATGATTTCTGTAGGATTTTCATTCTTATTCACGCTGTTTTTCAAAATTTTTATCTCTTTGTCTTTGTATATTATTTGAACTTTACGTAATGTTTATTATTTGGTGATTCATAATACGCTTACGTTATTAATGAATTATAAAGAAATAATAGCATTTTTTGAGGCTTATTGTTTGCAACTTTGAAAATACTTTTTATTCAAATCAGTTTGTGGTAATGTAACGAAAAACTTGAGTTCTGATGCTCTGAAAGCTTGTATGAACTAGCTTCAGATCTT